ACAATAAAAATCATGTTAATAATAAAGCTTAATAATAATAGCAAGATCCTAGGCATGATACTAACAAGATTAATAACAAATCCTAGCATGTCACTAAGCAATAAAGATCAAAATTTTAAACCTAACATGGTACTAACATGCTATTAGAAATAAATAAAGGCACCCTAAACATGATACTAGAAAGCATTGAAAACATCCTAACATGATACTAGGAATTAAAACAATAATAAACATGCTTTCTACATTGAAATAAAATAGGGAGTAAGCTAGTCTACTTACTTTGAAGCCTCGTACCTTTTTCTAATAACAAAATACACAAGTTAGTAAACTTCAATGAAAATAATAAAGAATTAAAGAATTAAGGAATTAAATTAGAATCAAATTAAATAAAGTTTAAACTAGATTTGGACCAAACCCTCAGAAAAGTATAAACCTTTCACGTCTAGGGCGAAGGAAACTTTGAACTTGGCTAGGTGTTTCAAGATCTTGTGTATGCGGAATTGTGTTTAATAAAAGGATAGTTTAGAAATAGAGAAAGAAAGAAAGCATATATTGCTCAAGAGAGAGAATAGAGAGAATCAAGTAATTCTTGATGAGAGTTGATCGTTGATGAGAATTGATTGTTGATGGAGGTCGAGGACCCTATTTATAAGGAAACAGTCCGGAAAATCATAGAATTTGATAAGAAATAAAACTACACGTTGTTGCCAAAAAACCGACCTTGTCACCAGAAATTCATCTTGTCGCGAGGCGACAAACCTGTCGTTTGGCGACAGAGACAGTTTTTGTGAATTTTGTTTTTATCATATATTTTGATCCAAAAGTCTAAATAAGTCATATAATATGTCGTTGGAAAGCTCTTGAAGTCTACTTTCTAATACAATTAGAATCAGATTAAAATATTTTGTAGATAAAAAGATATGGCCGAAATAGTAAAAGGGTGTCAGTTTTGGATAGAGTTTCGTATTCCTTTCATATCTTTTTCGTTATAGCTCGGAATTAATATTATAATATATCATTGGAAAGATAATTTCAAAATCTATCCAACCATATAAAATTTGGATAAAAAATATGAAGCACGAAAATAATATCTGATTGTCTTTGAACATCTTTAAATTCGAATAGAACTAGGACTTAAAAAAAGGAAAGTTTTATAAAAGGAAAGTTTTATTCAAATTCAAACTCTATGATCTTATCTTTTCAAAAAAGGATAATTAAGATATTTTAGAAACTTATAGAAGATTTTAATCAATCCTAATTAGTTTAGGAATAGGAATAAACCTTTGGACCCTCCACATGATCATTGGGTCGTAGGTAAAATCCGGTTTGGGCCCAGTTTAGTATTTTGGCCATAACTTCCTCATTATTCATCGAAATTGGGCTTATAATATATCGTTAGAAAGGTCTTTTCAAGCCCCAAACAACTACACTATTATTGGACCCTTATCATGGACCAAACTAAACTGGATTGGACGTTTTTTATTAAATAGAGTGGGTTTTCGAAAACAGAAAGAAGGATTTTTAATAAAAACTAACCGCAACACAAGACTTTTCACACTTTCACCTCATTCGATTATGGTTCGACGCGAAAGGTATTCATCACTGGGTTTTGTTTTTGGGGAGACACAAATGGGTGTCTACACTGGGTGGTCCTGTCAGTGCTGCTTCCTCTTTTTATGGTGAGCTTGTTTCACATAGAGTGTCGAAGACCGTTGTGCTAATGGATGCTGTTGCTAAGTTCGATGATCCCCAATGCAAGTTGTTGCTTCTTCGTGCGTGTACTGGGGTTTCAAAACTCTACTTTGCTTTATGCGCACTTGTCCTCCTTGTCTTTTTTAAACAGCACATGTTTCTTTTGACGTGGCCCTTTAGGCTTCTTTAATTTGGAGCGCATTGTAACAGCTTCGGGGCCTGATTTTGGTGATTGGCAATGGCGACTTGCTACCTTACCTTTTGCTTATGGTGGTTTGGGTGTCTATTCGGCGGGTGATGTTCGGCATTATGCTTTCCTTGCGTCACGTCTGTAGTCTTCTGGTCTTCAGGCTACGCTTCTTCGCAATTCTGGTATTGTTGGTACGGGACTGGCCTTTGATGGTGCTCTTAGTCTTTTTAACAGGAATGTGGAGACTGACCTTATGAGTAACCCTAGTGACATTGCTGCCCCATACTCATGAAAAAGTTGGCAGATATATATTTTCACGAAGGTCACTACATCTGCGGATTCCACTTTCTCCTTAACTCCGCGTCAGGTAGCCTTATGGAAGTCCCAGAAGGGGATCACTCTTCGGCCTGGTTGCGGACGGTCCCGATATCGAATTTGGGTCAGACTATGAATGGTAAAACTTACCGTAGTGTTCTTTGCTACCGGTTAGGTGTTCCTTTGTTCTCCGTTTTCTGCTTGCTTAAGGGTTTTTTACGGGGATATTTATGGGGATCATGTTGTGTCTTGTGCTGGGATGGTGGGTATTAAACATCAACACAATGTTGTTCATGACACCCTTGTTGATATTTGTTTTAGGTCTGCTCGAAAGGAGGTTAACGTTGGGTTGATTGGAGGAAACGACGGGGCTCTACGACCTGTAGATGTGTTGCTTTATTCCTGGGATAGAGACCTTGATGTATGTGTTGACTTGACGGGGTCTTCTCCTTTGACACAATCGGAGTTGTCTGACTTAATTCCTGGTCTTGTTGTGTTGGCGGCGGCTCAGCGGAAGCGGGACAAGCATGGGGCGCGTTGTAGGGCTATTGGCTATGGTTTTCTTCCTTTGTCCTTTTCTTCGTTAAGAGAATTAGAGAAGGATGTTATTGCGTTGCTGAAGCGTATTCAGGCATTTGTAAAGACTCAAGGTATTGGTGCTCGTGTAGCTGCTCACATCTTTAGCATGATCGGGTTCGCTATAGCTAAAGGGGTGGGGGCCCAAATTGTATCTCGACTCCCCACCATTTCTTGCAAATTGATTGACTCTGTAGGTTTTTTTGATATTTTTATAATAATAATAATAATAATAATAATAATAATAATATTGTTGAAATCTGCTCTGCTCTGTTCTGCTCGGCTCTGCTCCGCTATCCTGAAATCTACTCTGCTCTGCTCTGCTGAAATTTTGCTGAAATTTAATCTGCTCTGCTTATTAGCTGACCCCTGCTCTGCTTTACTTTGCGCAGAAGCTCAAAAGAACATGGCCTAAGAATGGTTACGGAATCAGATACGGGTACATAATACACATTTTTTTTAAGAAATGTAATACACTAGATAAAAGGAAAGACGATACGAATACGGCCAATCAAGCAAAATACAATATGTTCATAAACATAACTTTTATGAAAGTTTCAATGAATTTTGATAAATTTTACTACCTTTTATTATCATATAAAATCGAAAAATTATTTTAAAAAATCATCAAATTGAATATATCGTAAGTAAAGTTTGTTAATAATAAAATTAAAAAATGTGCCAAAGTACCTGGTAGGGCTAGTACCCATAAGAGTACAGGTGCATATTACGTGTCCTATATGGATACGATAATCAATTGAACTACCCATGTATCAAAGCCTTTCACGAGTCACAACGTGAGACAAATGTAAAATTATGAATTGGGAGTGGGTTAAAGATTATTAGATGGTCTAATTAACCAACATGTTGCGGATCATTCTTTAGTCTACTCGTAAAACATATTGAAATTTAGTTATTTTTAGGTAACATGTAAATCCATATTGACTACATAAATTTTTATTTTTCTTTTGGTATACAGTTTTATTGTTGATGACAGATGCAAACCAATATATTTAATGTAGAGGAAAAGTCATTAGATCAGAGAGAAAGAGGAAGAGAGCAGAATTTAGAGAGAAGAGAGAAGAATAATATGATTGATTGAATGAATGTTTTCCCGTACACCCATACTTAATACATGCCCCTTAGAGATTATTGTACCTAGCTGGCAGAGAATCTAATACATTCATTGTACTAAGAAAATACATCATAACAGAAAGGAAAAGGACAAAAGCAGGTATAATAGAATGCCAGCTAGAGCAGGAAAATATCAGGCCAAAAAGAGAATAAGGAATTTAGGATAAAAATCCTTAATACCCCCCCCCCCTCAAGCTGGTGGGCGAAGAAAGAAGCTCCCAGCTTGTGAACATGTTGCTGATGAAGCTTGACAGGAAGAACCTTGGTTAGGATGTCAGCAACCTGATTAGCAGAAGAAACTTTTGCAGTCTTGATTGTGCCTTGCTGAATCTGATCACGAACATAGTGGCAATCAATTTCAACATGCTTGGTTATCACACTTGAGAATAGTGGAGAACAGGATTGGCAACAATAGCAAGGGCAGCTTGATTATCACACTTGAGAATAGTGGGAGGAAGATTCTTGAGACCAAGATCCTTGAGAAGAGCAGTTAACCAAGTAACTTCATAGGTGGTTAAAGCCATGGCTCTATATTCTGCTTCAGCAAAAGAACGAGCAGTGACAGGCTACTTCTTTGTCTTCCATGAGACAGGTGATTGACCAAAGAAAATGCAGTAATCAGTGGTAGAATGCCTTGACATAGGACAACTTGCCCAATCACTGTCACAGTAGGCATTGATTTGAGCAGCAGAGCTTGTAGCAAGCAAAATACCTAGAGACAAAGTCCCAACTAAGTATCTCAAAACCCTTTTAGCAGCCTGAAGATGAACAGTTGTGGGATGATGCATAAATTGTGCCAGAATGTGCACAGGAAAGGCAATGTTAGGCATAGTAATAGTCAAGTAGATGAGTCTCCCTAGAAGCCTTTGATAAGTACTTGGATCAGAAAGGGGATCACCCTTATCAACAATGAGTTAGAGATGACTATCCATAGGGAGCTGCAGGGGTTTGGTATTTAGCATTCCAAACTCCTTGAGAATATCAGTAGTGTATTTCTTCTGAGAAAGGAAGAAGCCAGCATTAGATCTGTCAATCTCAATGCCTAGAAAATATCTGACAGGGCCTAGATCTTTCACGTGAAAAACCTTAGACAGAAGAAATTTGAGATTTGCAATTTCAGTCGAATCATTACCACATATCAGTAGATCATCTACATAAACCAGAACAATAGTGATAGAAGTAGAAATTGTCTTGGTAAACAAGCTATAATCAGATTTGGATTGAGTGAAGCTCAAATTCAGGAGGCCACAGGACAACTTATGAAACCATTGCCTCGGTGTACATGCCCCCTAGAGATTACTGTACCTAGCTGGCACAGAATCTAATACATTCCTTTTCAAAAAAAAAAAAAAAGAATCTAATACATTCATTGTACTAAGCAAATACATCATAACAGAAAAGGAAAAGGACAAAAAACAGGTATACCAGAATGCCAGCTAAGAGCAGGAAAATATCAGGCCAAAAAGAGAATAAGGAATTTAGGATAAATATCCTTAATAATTGTTTGTTTGATCTGTACGGAGTTTTAAAAACCATTATCATTAGTTTTAGCAATTCGTGATCATTTGCTTGGCTAAGCATTTAATTTTAACAATTACGAGTACTTCTTAACCCTCTCATATTACATTCATCATAGATACGATTATTATATACCCAAATAATCGAGATTCATTTCATTTCATTATATCCGAGTATTCGTATCCAAGATCCAAGATCAAATCTCACTCACATTACTCTCCATTCGCACCCCCCACCCAAAAAAAAAGAGGTAGGCAAAACAGTTGAGACTTAAGAAGGATAAATTGTGTCGGCATCAGACATTCAGGCCCCAACTCACTGGTGTGACCTCTCTCCTCTCTTTTTTCTCCTTTCACTCTCATACAAAATAGAAACAACAAATTAGAGATAGAAATTAATTTCAGAGTTGGGTTTTCTGGAAAATAACATGCAGTGGCACTCCAAAATGTGGGCACTTCACAAACACAAATTATCAATTTTCAAATTAGGGGTAATGATTTTAGCTACTACTCTTGCTTTACGAGTTTTTCTCTACCATAATAGCTCTAGATTTCCTCCTGATTCTACCTTTTTTCAAAGAATTACTTCAATTCAATCCCGTTCTTCTTCTTCGTTGTCTGAACTAATTGATGGGTCTGATTCTAGCTCTTCAGATTCCGGAATTTCTGATCAAATTCCTATAAAACGAGGTATTTTTTCGATTTTTATGTAAAAAGTTCATTATGATTACTATTATTATTGTTGGAATTTATGATTGTTTTTTCATGTTTTGCTGTAAGAGTGTAAGTAATGCCTAAAGATTTCATGATTTCAATTTTTTGTGTATAAAGTGACAACAAAACAATAATTCGTCACTATGTTATTTGATTCGGTGGTACAATATTGGGTTCAAAAACACAATTTGCTTCCTAGTTTTGTTAAATTAGCTTGAAATTGTAGTACTAGAATGTACCAATTTGCATTCTTTGGATCACATTTTGGTGGGGGTTAGTGAATTAGGTAACACTACCCTAAGTTTCCCACCAAAATTAGCTCGAAAGTTTATCACTGGCATGTAAATTTGTATTTTTTAGATCACATTTGGTGTGGGGGTTAGTGAATTAGGTAACCTGACTCAGCTGAGTTTCCCATCCAAATTAGCTCGATAGTGTGATACTGCACATCGCATTACAAATTCATACTTGTTGGATCACATTTCGTGTGGGGGTAGCGATATAGGTAACACTGGCCGAGCTGAGTTTGTTTTTCCATTTGCTCGGGGAAGTAGAAGATCAAATTTTTAGTGTAATGAAATAATTTTGGGCATTGTTCAAATTTCATTGTAGATTTGTTGTGGTAGAATTTTCTGTCATTGTCTTTACCGTTTTTGCAGTTTGCCTTTGAATGAGGAAATTGAGTTCTTTAGGATTACATTGGATTTGATAAGAATGTAGCAAAAATATACTTCTACTACGTATTAATTTGGCTACTAGCTAGGTTAGCTATTATCAAAAGGGAATATTTTCTTGAATTGACTCGAAAGCATGAGAATAATTGATAAGTGTGAAATGTAGTTGGTGAAATTAAGTAGGTAATGGATTTCAAAATAAACAAAAAGAAATTAAGTAGGTAATCAGGTGAACATGTGCATGAAATTGAGTGTTAATAGCTGTCCATCTGGTCTTACTAATTACCAATCTCGAAATATTCAGAGATTGTTTGGTTTGAGATGTTTAGTTATTGGGAATTGTATGTTATGCTTTCTAAGTGTCCATGGTAACACATTGCAGTCATCTATTATTTAGTTCATAAGTTTATATTACTCACCTCCATGTCTTCCTAGCTCCTATATACAATACGAGTAGTTAACATGAGGACAGAATTATGTTCGTGTATCACAAGCAATTTGGTGCATGATTTTATCATGAGGATCCCCATTTAAATCGTATTCATTACAGCAACTAATTTGTTCTACTTAACTAGTTGTGATGGCAATGGTTTTTCTTTAGTTGGTTGATTTAATTACTACTATGATCTAAATGCAGAAAAGTGTGGCGATCTTTTTAACGGGGATTGGATCCCAAATCCAGCTGGACCTGCCTACATTAATGAAACTTGCAATTTCATTGAAGAGCATCAGAACTGCATGAAGAATGGGAGGCCTGATTCAGAATATCTCTACTGGAGGTGGAGTCCAAAAAATTGTGAGTTACCTCAGTTCAATGCTATGACATTTCTAGAGATGATGGAGAACAAAACGTGGGCATTTATAGGTGACTCTATCTCTCGAAATCATGTGCAGTCCTTAATTTGTATGCTCTCAAAGGTATAGTAACATCTCTTGGCATGCTAGTATTTGTTTAACCTTAGAATGGTACGATAAAGGCCTATTCATAAGTTATGTTTTGCAATGTGATGTTCTTCAGGTGGAAGAAGCAGAGTTGTTTTATCATGATGAAGGATACAAATCTAAAGGATGGCGCTTCCCATCTTACAACGTGACCGTATATGTTATATGGTCTCCCTTTCTGACAGATGCGACTATTTATGAAGACATTAATGGTATCTCAACTCAGGATCTTGAACTGCACCTTGATAGACTTGATAAGAAGTGGACTGATTTGTACAAAAACCTGGACTACATGATCTTCTCCTCTGGAAAGTGGTTTCTCAAACCAGGAATATACTATGAGAATGAAACAGTTTTGGGATGTCATAAATGTCAGAAGAACCTCACTGACCTCAGTTTAGAGTTTGCTTACCGCAAAACTCTGCAGTTAGTGTTCAACTTTGTTGCTACATCTGATCATAAAGGGTTAATCTTTTACAGGACTCTTACGCCTGATCATTTTGAAGGTGGAGAGTGGTCTAGTGGAGGAAAGTGCAATAGAACTGTCCCATTTAAAGATGGTGAGGTTGAGATGAAGTACATGCAAAAAATGCTGCGACAAATTGAGCTAGAGGAATTTGAGAAGGCAGTAGCTCGGGCATCCGAGAATGGTGTGCAACTAAGACTTCTGGATTTAATGAAGCTTTCCTTGTTAAGGCCTGATGGGCACCCTGGTCCATATCGACAACATTACCCTTTTGCACTGGATGAAAATGCACAAGTCCAGTACGATTGTCTGCATTGGTGCTTGCCTGGGCCTATAGACGCTTGGAATGATGTAATCATGGAAATGATAGTGAACGGATGAGTTCTTTCGAAGAGACTTGTAAACAAGATATGGAACGGTGTGTGAATACTAAATGAGCAACATCATTCATGAGTAAATAGAGGACATCACCCTATGGTGGGTTATACTAAAGGTTAAAGTTTACTTTTTTCTCCCCTGGTTTTCCAAGCTATTAGTCCTAATTTTGTGATTCTCTTGGCTGATTTATTGTATTTTTGATGTACTGGGTTGATGAGAACTTTCTGAAAAGGTCATTGTTGCTGTTATCTCTCGTGGTAAATTATATTCCCGATTTGATGGCTCGTTTTGGTTGTCCTGAACTGTGAAGAAGCAATTATGTAATGAAAGGGTCATACTTGCTGTAATTGTTGCTATTATCTATGCATGAGGATATGCAGAAGCTGGGATTTTTCTTTTTAGTGTCGCAACTCATTATGTGCGAGTCTCAGTTCGGGGTGGTTGCATCTTTTTCTTGTGCATGGATCTTGTAGGAATCTGGAATCATGTTAACAACGAAGAATGTTGTCTCTTCAACAATTAGAGGATATTGAGCAATTTTTTAGGTCAAGAACTTAATCGAAGATTGATCATTCGCCAGGTACTAGCTGGAAGAATTTACTTTGGTTCTCTTAAACTTTGCCTAGTAGAATATATGTGATCGTACATGCAAGTACTGAAATTAAAAAGTGGGTGTAGTTTTGTTTACATGCAGTCTTGACTCTTTTAGGACAAGATTTTTGAACTGTTAAAGTCTTTGAACTTAACTTCTTACTTCTGTATTTTCTTACTGTAATTTTTTTGGCAATAAAATTTCTGTAGTTGTTCTTAGAAGTAGAGGCTTAGATATATAAATTGATTGATATTTCAACTATGCTTGTGTGCGCTTCTTTTGATAGTTTAGTGTTCATTCCATACACTTAATTTTTGTGCTCCATACACTATAATTTCTTGAGAAAAAGCTATTTTTTTTAGTTAAAATCTTTGAATCACCCAGAAATTTTACCTGATACAGTGATACACTTTCACATAACAGTTGCATGTTCATTTTATTAAGACTATATGCTCATTAGAGTCCAACTAGTGGAACTGGGGTCTGGTGAGTGTGGTGAGTGCTAAGTGGTGACCCAGTCCAACACTCCAACTAATAAGAATTGGGTTATCAACGGTATTTTTTGTGTATTGGGCTCGAGTGGCCTAGTGTGTGAGAGAGATGGACTTGCCCTAATCAATCACCCCCTCCCCCACCCCACCACTCAAGAAAAATAAAAAAAATAAAATAAAAATACTCCCTCCATCCTGTTTGTGTTTTGTCACCGACTCACGGTATATGAAAAAGTAGATGAAGGGCCTGTTCTCATTTACTTAATTTCAGTTCAGTTCAGTTCACCTCAGCTCTTAATTTCCTTCTCTCATAAAGTATTAGCTCCAATCAGTTCAGTTCAACTCCTAATTTTCTTCTCTCATAAAATATTCATTTCATCTCAGTTCCCCTTAGCTCCAATCAGTTCAGTTCAACAGCCCCGAATTACATTAATAAAAGTGAAAAGTACAATGACAAAAGTTAGAAAGAGAAAGTGGAAAAAAGTATAAGACATGTGCAAAATCAAGGGTAAAAAATATTATGGGACAGAGGAAGTAGCTGATAAAAAATATTCAATATTATAAGTAGATCGTACGTGGATAAAAGATGCAAGAATCACTATCTAGACTTAAACTTATGAGTACTCAATCATCGCATCATCAACCTTTCCTTTCTTGTTCATTTGTTAGTATTTCTTTTTGGGTAGGGTGTGTATGGAGTGTCATAAATGATAAATAATGTGAGTGAGATTTGATCACGGATCTTGGATACTTCAATATGGGTTGCGGAAGGGTCACAGATTAGGGAGATTTCATCTCGGACCTTGGATATTCGAATATAATGGAATGAAACAAATATCGATTTTTGGGTTATATAATAACCGTGTCTATGATGAATTAAAGAGAAATCAGTCATGGAGGCTTAAATTTAATCGTAATATCAAAATATATATATGCAATTAAACAAACTCAAGGCTAACTTTATTGCTTGCATACTTAAGTTCAAAGTAGTATTTCAAGGCTAACTTTATTGCTTGCATACTTATGTTCAAAGTAGTACACTAAATCCACCACTACTAGTAAAATATATCCAACAGAAGTATCTAATTGCCTAACTCCACCACTACTAGTAAAATATATCCAACAGAAGTATCTCATTGCATTAGAGCTCAACTTCCGTGGCTAAAACGGCAAGAGCCAATAAATGGACAAGGGACATTTGCTTGAGTAAAGTTGCATAGATGTAAAAACTCGTGAGAAAAGTGGCAAGGCTTATACTTTGACATGGGTGGAGGGTTAGGAAGAACGAAACCAAATTTGCCAACCAATGAAGGAAGACTAGGGTCTACACTTGGTCCAAATAATATGGCCTATCATTGATATCTGACTCTAGCCCTGGCCCAGTAGACATTGGCTGAGATCCAAGCCCAATAGAATCTGGCTCTGTCCCAACAGAAGATTTCGGGCCAATAGGAGATTTCAGTCCAAGAACACTTGAATCAAAGAGAGGCCCAGTAGATTTTGGCTGAGATCCAAGCCCAATAGGATCTGGCTCTGTCCCAACAGAAGATTTCGGGCCAATAGGAGATTTCAGTCCAAGAACACTTGAATCAAAGAGAGGCCCAGTAGACTTTGGCTGAGATCCTAGCCCAATAGAATCTGGCTCTGTCCCAACAGAAGATTTCGGGCCAATAGGAGATTTCAGTCCAAGATCACCTGAATCTGGCCCAATAGACTTTGGTTGAGATCCCAGCCCAATAGAATGAGTAGACCCGATTACAATTAAGTGTCCATCAAAAACAGTGTAATTAGGAACCTGCATTAAAATTGATATGTTAAATAATAATAATAATAATAATAATAATAATAATAATAATAATAATAATAATAATAACAAATTAACAACCTCAAGGTCTCCGAAAGTCAAATGTAGTTGCTGAGCAATTTCATGGCTTCCCTGAGTTCCCTCCCTATACAAAAATAACTCAAGATTAATAAAGAAATTATAACTATTTTTTTTTTATTAAAGTATGTAGGATTGAAAGAATTCCAAAAAATAAAAAATAAAAAATCAAGAATGATAAAGAAATTAAAACTATTTTTTTTTGTGAATAAAGTACATAGCGTTGCAAAAAAAAAAAAAAAAAAAAGGATTAATAAAGAATAGAGTACGTAGCTAAATTTTTGCAAAACAAAAAAAAAGTACGTAGCTAATTGTTCCCAAAAAAAGGAAACTAGTACGTTACTAAATTGATCAAAAAATAAATAAAATGGATACATAAAAATATAACTTGATTATAAAAAATAAAAGATCCAGATAACTAAAAGAATTAAAATCAAACTAAAATCCCAACAAAATAAAAATAAAAGAATCAATATTAAAAGAATTAATGAAAAGATAACACAAATATAATTGGATAACTACATAATTAAAATCAATGCAATTAAAAAAAAAATTGATAAAATCTTTCATGTTAAATCGGATAATCTAGTGGAATTACAATTTGAAGGTTGCATTGAAAGTAAGTCAAAGTATACTTTCATAAAAGAATCAATATTAGAAGAACTTAGGAAAAGATAACAAAAATATAATAGGATAACTACATAAAAATCAAAAAAAGATTTGATAAAATCTTGTAAGTTAAATTGGATAAACTGCTAAAATTAAAATTTGAAAGTTGCATTGAAAGCAAATTGAAGTATACTTACATAATTTGGCCGAATATTTGATGATTTGTGTGTGAAGTTGTAGTGAATTCTTTCAAATGAAAAAAAATGTTGTAATGAAATGTGCAATGAAATGTTGTTGGGAAATGTAGTAGTAATGAAGAAATTCGTGGGGTTTATATATATATAGAGAGAGCTATAGAAGGGTATGATAGTTAGGAGGTTATAATTGTTATTAGTTATGTTAGGACTTAGGACTTTAGGAGGTTATAATTGTTATTAGTTCTGTTATTTCATAATGAAAAATTTGTTAGTACGGAGTACTCCGTATTAAGCTAAACCCTTGGCTAAAAATATTCTAAATATCAAGTGTAAGTATTTTTTTTTTTTTTTTTTTTTTTGAATAATCAAGTGCAAGTATCTTCTTCTTAGCTTATTCTACGTTTTTTTTATTTCATATTTTTGATACAAATTTTTTGGGTCGTGTGATGATAGGAATAGTATGCCTAATAATTTATAAAGGTTTATATATATATATATATATATATATATTTGGGTGTAAAGTGCTCCGAAGTTATTTTTTTATTTGTTAATTTGATATTTTAAAATAAACAAATTACAAAGTACGTATCATTTTCTTGCAATTGTAACTTAAACCTAATATGTAGTACGACTACCTAATACGGTCTACAGGTGTTAATTACTTAATTTGAGTCTTTAAGTTAGCCAGACCTATTTTAAAACTTGAATTATGCTAAATTATTATATAAGTACCAGCTGAAATCTAAATATTTTTTTAAGTCGTTTTCACTCGAGTCTGGCCAGGTGAGGTTTTGACCCTCTATCTAGATGGTGTAAATTACTATTGACTTTTTTTTTTTTTTTTTAGGAATTACGTTGACTTGACACACCATAAAGTCCAAAACTGTCAACATTTGGGGGAACTTTGATTATGTTCGTAAACCAAAATTTGGGGTTACGGTTTCTGGGAAAATGTTGAAACAGTCGAATATGGAGTTGGGCAATTCCAGAATTGCAAATATCAAATCGGGTGGCTGTAGTAGTAAGAGGAAGAAGGGGAATGATTCGGAGGAAGAAAGGTGAACCTAAACTTGATTCCGTTTATTAAGGGTTTCAATTTCATCAACATGCTATTTTATTCTGTTATTTGCTTTTAATTGTTGTTGTGTTGAGGCGGTTTACTGGGCGGCGACTGGTGGTGAGGCAGGTGGCTTCCAGTGGTCAATTGGGGAATTGTTGTGAGTAATATGGGTTGTGATTGGTGGTCGATTGGCGAGGATAATTGAGGGTGTATGTTGGAGCAGGGGATCTGATGTTCCCTCCTAATGAATAATGGATAATTGGATTTGGCAATGGTTTTGACGGCGCCCATTGCTTATTGTAGTTGTTGTTTGATGCATGAATAAATAGGGGTTTTGGTTACTGGTGTTGGAAATATTTGATTTTGATAGTAGGGGACTTTGTTCTGTTTCGAATATATATCCCTTATTGGGTATAACAACTAAGAAGATGAATTTGGATGATGATCTTTAGGTTGCTTTTGAAGACGCAGTTTATGATTTTAGAGTCAAGTGCGACGAAACGTACTTGGTACTCGACTCTGCCGAGTGCCGACTGATCTGGTTTTCTACACTTGACATGCAGGAAAGTTTAGATGTTAGATCCAGAGCTCTCCTCCAAACTGCCACGACTGCAGTGTATAGTGTTTGCTGTGGACTATGAATTTTCTGCTAGGCAAAAAGCTGCTGATGAGTTTACTTCCTAATATCAAGGGTACTACAATTTCACAGAAACTTGTTTGGTAAAACATGGACCTCGATTATGGCGCCAGTTATTTATCAATGGTATTGCATCTCAAGGCTGAGCTGACAATTAGGCAATAGTCACTGGATACTAGTTAGATGCCCAACAAGGAAAGATGAATTTGTTGCCAGCATATATACTCGTATATTATAATAGGATGGCGTACTTCACTTTGCTAGAAACCGAAATTCAAGGAAAACACTGTTGGTAACCAGCTATAATTGGAGTGCAGCTGGTGTTCTATTACTGTGCCACTATAACAGCTTACTGTCACTAAATTATCTTCTTATATGATATGATTTTCTTTGATAATGCTCCTATCCTTTTACTCGGATTGTGATATGCCAAATGATAGAAAAATTCAATTTGATAATATTTTGAAAATATATTGTATATATATCGTGGTCAAACTATTATAAATTAATTATGATCCTAACTGTACTCGTATATATCTCTAACTTAAGGAGATAGATAGAGATGACTCCGGCAATACTAAGCATGTGATATATAATTTATAAACAATTATATTATCACTTTTAATTTTCTATAAAATCCCTTAAATCTTGATCCCTCATAATCTTTGTTAAATCCAAAGCCAAACAAAGAAACATGAGAGACTGGGGTAATATGCCAAAAGATATTGTGACTAAAATTGTAGAGCATGTGGAATTCTATGAAGACTATGAGACGTTACTAAAAATTTGTTCAAATTGGAGATCAGCCGGAAAGGAGGCTAGTTTACGAGGATATGCCAATGCCAATGCTACAGAATCGATGCATACACTTCCGTGGCTAATGCTACGACAGAAACAGTCCTCGATGAGCCATCGCTTATACAGCTTCTCTAAGCGCATGGTTCGCCTTATTAGCCTGCCAGCTGAGTTGAATTACAAAAAACCAATGTTATCTTCTCGTGGGTGGCTTCTTGTGCTCTCGAAAACAAAGCAAGTTAGTATTTTGAACCCCTTTTCTGGTGCCATTATAGAGCTACCAATACTAAAGTTATGGAATACTAACCACATAGATTTCAGAGACTTTGATTGGCATAGAACAATCCTTAATAGGTTCATATTGTCAGCCGATCCCTCAACTAGTAGTGATTTTGTTGTCTTCCTTTCAGTGTCTTTCAGTGCCGGCACTGACAATCTTGCATCAAATCTGGTTTTCTGGAGGAATAATCGCGGTGCCGGTGCCTGTTCCGGTGATGGTCATGGGTGGATTCATGTTAGGGATCCTCTTGTTCCACTGGGACCAATATTGCCTGATTACCCCTACCATACTCAACTTTTCCTTAGTTTTTATTGCACCGATTTAACTTTTTACCAAGGAGAGTTTTACGGCGTTAATATATTTGGTATGTTTGTAAAGTTTGAGACTGCCAAAGGCAATCCTCATTTTCATGTGGTGGCTGTGATTGATGGACATGTCCCAAACATGTTGACATATGATGATAATGAAACAGCATGGTTTCATTATTTGGTTGAATCATCTGGCAAATTGTTGGTTATACGTCAAGTCACTCGTCAAGAAATTACCACCTCCAAAAGGCGGCATATATTCCGATTTCAAACTATAAGATTTGAGGTATTTGAATTGAATGTTATGGCTGGAGAGCTCAATGAAGTGTCAAGTTTGGGAAATAGAACAATTTTCTTAGGTTTAAATTCTTCCTTTTCCGTTGAGTCATCTCGTGGTTTTAAGCCTAATTGCATTTACTATACCGATGATAGTCCGAGATCTACTCCTTGCCAAACACCGGGACGACATGGTGGATGTCTTTACAATTTAACCAATGGCAAGTTTGAGGATCATTTTTACAATTGTCGCTCATCATATCTCGGCAAACTCACACCACTTATTTGGTTAGAGTCTCCTTATTCATAACAAGTAATTTGATTTTGTTTAAATTTCATGGTAATGGTAATGGTAATGGTAATGGTAATGGTAATGGTAATGGTAATGGTTATTATGATTTCTTGAGATTGAACAAAATAAATCATTCTTTCTTGTTCAAATTTTATTTGTTAAGTAATCAATTTTATTGTGATACAAGTACTACGTATATATTATGATGGCCTTAGGGCTATATCTTTGCTAGCAATTGAAACTCCATTTTCAGTCAGCAAAATTTTGTTATTTAAGTAAAGATGGGCTTTGAATTTTGCAAATAAATGCATAACTCATATCATAGAACCTTTGGCAAAAGTTTGAGAGAATTCAGTAAACTTGATTGGACTACATAACAGTTAGTAATATACTTCGTATTCCATATCTCTAACTTAATTATGTACCCTCTCATTAGATTGTGCATGATGCTCCACTAGACAGGCACTAGAACAATAACAAAATCAACAATTAACATTGATAAAAGATATTTAAAAAAACAAAAAAAAAAAACAAAAAAAAAAAAAAAAGAAAGAAAGAAAGAAAGAAATGAAAGTCATGTAAAAAGTTAAATTGAAGGAACATTAAGAAACAGAGGTAGTAGATTTAATTAACTTTTAATCAGATCTGTTATATAACAATTGACATTAGATTTATATACAATAGATTGTTAATATCCAACAGATTTATTTTCTACTAATATTTACAGATAAACCACTGATAAAGCATCTCAAAATTCCAGAAATCTGCAAAAAACACTCCACATTACTTTACAGACTTGCAAAAAAAAAAAAAAAAAAAAACTCTCTCTGAACAACCATTTTGACAACAGTAACCTTAAAAAGAATGGATTTTATTTCATGAATTTAACAAAAAAATAATGAGAAAATTAATAATATGCACAAAAACATGGAAAGTCTTCACAGATCACGTTGCCAAATGGCACACTGTCAATCTTTCAACCTCTGTCAGTTTCAGGTTTTATCCAATTTAGGATAGCAGCCCCCAAAAATATTAATCATTGAATTCCTCAGGAACGCGCATACCAAATCCCCGCTTTTTCTTCTCAACTCTGAATGAAAAAATAAGGTAGAGTGAGTAATTTTGACATTAACAATCAGTATCTAAGGTTATATTGCACTTAATCAAGTCAAGCTACAATTTGCTCATTTAGAACTTATAGGATAGTTCACTCCCTGTGGGTTGACTAACAAGTTAGACAAATAGACCTTTCGCTGCATAAGAAGGAATTCATTTTCTCTATGTTCATTTGAATTTTGGCTGCCAGAGGACACTAGTCTCAGAACATCGTGAATGCTAAATTATGATGAGACAGCACGATGAAGATGTAGTTAATAAATGGTTTGTTCAAGTAACTTAAATCTATTGAATTTGTGTACAACCAAATGTATACAAGATCGCTTTCAGGTAGCAATAAACATACTCAAAGCTAACTTTATAGCCAATAATGAAAGTAATAGGCTCAAGAGTGCCCAATCCATTGATCAAAATACACACAGTTTGAACTATTTAAAATGCATATGCGAATTCAAGTTTCACCAAAAATTATTTTTGTCATGAGCATACAAATTCAAACTAAGAGGTAGAGAATCATAGATTTAATCTAAAAAAAAAAAAAATTAACTTATATACTTTGGCTAGTTAATCATGCCACTAACCAGCGGTTTTGTTCAAAAAATGCTAATTCCTATTCTTTCTATTGTTTTGAGGGAATGGCTGAAAATAAAAGTCATTCCTAAGATGTGAATGTGCTGCCTCATTTCAGGGGTAATATTGAAATATTTGATTTTTAATCTCATAGTATATGAAATCATTTTTAACAGCATAGTAACTCTCATTTGTAAAATTGTAATAGATGGTTCTGTGTAGACACTAATAATTAGACAACTAATCTACCACCAAAATAAAACAATGTACGTTCCCAAAATGTACATGAAGTTTCTCATGAATGGAAGAAAGCTGACATGTGGTGATTAAATGCATCAAATAAGTGAACTAACAAAAGAATCAGAGACACTCACGTGGGAGCAAGTTTTCCAAGGTTAGCAATGAAGTCTTTGCTCTGCTCCTCCAGGACTTTTCCGGATATATCAACAATATATCTCTTGTCCCGCATAGTTGGAAGTCCTCGACTTGAAAGTAAATCAAGATCTCTTTTCTGAAGCTCTCTGCCATTTACATAAACAGCAGTTTTCCCTCTAGAACAATTTGCTGGCATGGGAAAACTGAATTCTGGAATAGATGGCTGCAAGACAAATAGGAATGCCCCTTCCTACAATTACTACTATGTAACATCTTATAAAGAGGATTGGAAAGAAAATAGATGAAACCAAATGAAAGTGAGAGAAATTCTTTTGCACTATAACTCACCGGAATTATCCCAAGGCAATGATGGTCCATTACACCCCAAAAACCAGCTTTAGGATCGTACCTACAATAAAATAATCAATTAAGAAAATGAGGGATGTTTTACAACAAAACAACCGAGTGAGCAACTTAAGATCATTTTGCTACCTTCTGAAATTAAATCAACTAACTTGTCAAATTAAATTTGTGCCGAATAAATGTACTATGTATTAATTTTGTTAAAAAAAAAAACGCAATTAAAAGGTATTGCAACAATTACCAGTAGTTCCCTGGTTCAATAGGTCCAGCAAGCTTTTCTGCCTTTTTAATTACATGAAGTGGTACCCGCTGACCATTGACAAATACCTCATCTTTTTCAGGGGAGACAGAACCAGGTCTTGGTGAAAAGGGTTTCCAGAAAGGAGATTTAGAGGACTTTTTGTTTTCATCTCTGCATTCTGTTGGAGCATCCCCAGAATCAGATACAGTAGTTGATGACTCATGGGAATGATCTTCAGTCTCTAAAGCAACCGCAGTATTTACCACAGAGCTATCTTGAGATACATTTTTTTCAAGAACTTGCTTCTCTTCTCCAGTAAAAGTATTTGTAATTTCTGCCTCAGCTTTGTGGTGTTGGCCAGAGTAATCAAGATGTTCCCGCAAAGGTGAACCAGGGGGAGGGCGAATCTTTGCAGCCGTCTCTGAAGAAGTTAGTAGGCTGCTTTGCACACTTGCACTATCTGTAATGAGCTCTTCCTTAGAAGAATGAGATGATGGAGAAATACCTCGAGTATATTCATTAAAATCTGAAATCATTCTCCGTCCTCCTGTGGTTTCAGTGGCTTTGGATTCCGTATACTGGAATCTGTTCTCTATTGCATCAAAATCATAAGGTTTGAAATTTGTACTAGTAGCAGCAACACTGTCATGGTGGTGTCTAGGACCTGACTCGTTCAGCACTTTACCAGAGCCACTAGTAGCATTGACAAGATCTGGATTCTTCTGTGAAGAAAGAGCACCTAAAAAACTTTTCTGAAGATCAAATGACATAACAGAAGAGCAGGCCCCACATTGCAATTTATACTCTTTATTATTCTTGGTCATGAACTTCCCGGGTAATTTGAGCAACTCAAAGCATTTGTGGCATAATACAAAGGGGGCACCACCAGCAATGGGGAGGCAAATCCGTTTGTTCTGTCCAGTTACCAGAACTCTCCTTGGATGAGGAGCAAGGTGGGATGGTCGTTCTCGAGGACCAGTATGTGCCATTCTAGGATCATAAGTCCGTGGAACACGCCTTTGGAGATTCATACTATGGCTGGATGTTGGATGTGCAGCCGGATTGAGAGACATTCTATGACAGAGAGAGCAAGAACATGCAGGATGGTGATTATGTGACTCATTGTAATATAATCTGAGAGAAGCCTGATCGAAGTCCAAAGACTTCCCTGGAACATAGCCCATCCTTGATTGACTTGCAAACTGTTGATGCTTGGGATAATGATCCCTTTTCGTTTGGCCTGCAAATGGATCATCATATATAGGGGGGTAATTACACGAGTTTTTCATATCATGAGCAAGACCAGGTCCATGATTGGAAAACGAAGTCATTGGCATGTGTCTATCTGGAGCAAACTGCTGTTTGGATCCCCGTCTGAAAATAGTATGTTTTTCTTCTAAATAATCATCAGCATTATTATATAACCCAGGAGAAGAAAACAAATTATCATCAAATTCCCTCGGTTGTTTTGATGGATATTGCTGCATAGAATCCTGGTATTTCTGAGTGAATTCATAGCGATCCATATAGTGAATATGAGCCGGTTCTCTCTGACTTTCAAAACTATGCCTTGAGTGCCCATGACCGTGAAAGTAGTCCATATGATAACTTGAAGGTCCATCAACTGTACTTGAAGAAGCTGAACTCCTCCCGCTTTCAACAACTTCCCTTACAGTTCTGTGAATCACCCGATCCCCATCACTTCCAGTGTACCTATGGTCTACAGCAGCCCTGGGTCTTCCATGTCCTCCGACATAGTCATCCCTGAATATCGAATCTCTGTCTATTCTTCCCTTAATAGAGCCACTTCCAGGAATGGGACCATCACTTAATCTTTCTGGATTCATCTGATTTTCATCACCATAGAGTGATTCCTTCCCTTCACTAATTCGATCAGCCTCGTCACCAATTAGGTCTCTCCACTTTGTTCTTCTCCTACCTAATTTGTTAACATTAGACTCTCTGGGATGGTTATCATCAGGAAGCCATGTGTTAAATGAAGTTTTAAGAGTCATCTTGTCACTCCTCTCACGTTCCTCTGAATCATCACTCTCAACTCTTGTCCCCTCATGTTCTTTCTCAGCATACTCATCAACTTCAGAGACACTACCTCCCCTCAATGGCAAATTAGCAATGTCTCCATCCATTGCCCTTGCAGGTGATCTAGCAACAGCATCTGTCCCCCTCATGGGCGACCTGCTAAAATTTCTCGTTCTCACACTCATCGGGGATCTACCCCCTTGCTCCCTCACAGGTGACTTGCTAACATATCTTGACCTAGCAGGTGAAATCCCAAACCCATCAAAATCTTGATCACCTGAACCCCTCCCCCTCATTGAGGACGGACTAACAG